GCAGAGCAAAGATGGAAACCCTGGCAGAACAGGAAGAGACGGACAGAGGGAGAAGAGCCATTTGTAGCAGGCTGCAGGGCTGAGAGGGAGCAATTAGAAATGTGGTCCATTACTTATTAACAGCAGCTCTATTGCTAATGAGCAGGAGAAGGAGGCAGGGGACAGGGCAGAGCGCCATGTCAGCATCTCCTGCCCGGATCAATCTCCTGCCCTGGGTCCCACAAGACCTCGCCAGGGCCCCGCAGCACCGGCGCGGCGATGGCATCTCCTGGGGCAGTGGGGAAAGGCCAGACGACACGGGGCTGGACGGGGCTGGGGGGCAGCCGGGCAGGGAGCACCGGGGGTCGGCACTCACCACCATCCCGTTGATGGAGACCCAGCAGTTCTGGGGGAAATCCTGCAGCATGGGCACCAGGAACTGGAGGCAGCCGTCCCAGTGGCACAGCAGCAGCATCATGCCGATGAGGTTGAAGATCCTCACCACGGCGCTGGCCAGGTCGTACGTCATATGGAAGATCTGGGGAAGAGGCAGGAGCGGAGCTGCAGAGAAACGCCTTTCGCAGAACAGCCCTCTGAGCCCCGGCCCTCCAACCAGCCCTGCCCCACCGCCCGGGACCCCGGGCAGGCCCTCGGACCCCCGAGGGGCTCTCACCTCCTCCCACTGGTGGATGTAGCGGATGAGGCGGTAGAGGCGCAGCAGGCGCAGCAGGCTGAGGATCTTGGTGAAGCGGACGATGCGCAAGGCCCGGGCTGTCTTGTAGACGTCAGAATCCACCTGGGTCTCCAGGTCAACGATGAGGAAGATGTAGTCAACTGGGATGGAGGAGATGAAGTCGACCAGGAACCAGCTCTTCAAGTACTTCATTTTGATGGTGTGAGGGTCAAGGATGATCTCCGTGTTGTCCTCCACCACAATTCCTGTCCGGAAGTTCAGCACCAGGTCAGCCAAGAAGAAAGTGTCCGAAAGCACGTTGAAAACGATCCAGGGAGGGGTATTCTCATCCTTGAAGAAGGTGATGCCCACAGGCAGGATGATCAAGTTCCCCACCATCAGGAGTAGCATGATGAGGTCCCAGTAAAACCTGCAGCGAGGGAGCACGGGGGACGGAGTGGGGCAGGGAGGAGTGGGGAGAGGCAGGACACGGGCAGCGAGAAAACAGACCCAGGATCAAAGTTGGAGTCCAGCACAACACGGAGAGACTGCCCACACACGATGAAGATGCTTCTGCTTGGCTGGGACACTGGCGAGGCCGCCCCTCGAGCGCTGCGCTCAGCTCCGGGCCCCTCACTCCCAGCAGGACATGGAGGGGCGGGAGCGTGGCCAGAGCAGGGCAGCCAGGCTGGGGAGGGGGCTGGAGGAGAACAAGTCCCATGAGGAGCGGCTGAGGGAGCTGGGGCTGCTCCGGCTGGAGAAGAGGAGGCTGAGGGGGGACCTCATGGCTCTCTGCAGCTCCCTGATAGGAGGGGGGAGCGAGGGGGGGGTGGTCTCTGCTCCCCAGTAACCAGCGACAGGACGAGAGGGAACG